GTCGCAGGGTCAGTGCCCAGGGAGCGCCGCACTGTCGGAGGTGCAGCTGGGTAGCGGAGGAGGACTTTAAACAAAGGCCCCATCTGACCTCTGAAGTTGATTTACAAAATCTACTGGTGGACCATGATGATTAACTTGAAGAAAAGGAGGGCAATTCTCTCCATTTTCCTGCAGCTAATATTTAACCTTCAATCAGGATCACTAACAAAAACAGATCACGTTGTTGTTCATCAGAGCTGGCTGTGCACAAATTAGCTCTCTCATTTCCTATGCTGCATGTGACAAACCTCAATATGCACTTAACTGACTGTAAAGCACTTTGTGGCATAGTGAGACTGATCTTTTTTCACTCGTCAAGCATACCCAGCATTTATTACAAATCCTGAATTGCCCACAAACTGAGTGCCTTACTCAGACATGTCAGAGGGCTTGTAAGAGTCACCCACATTGCTGTGGGTTTGGAGTCACATGTGGGGCAGACAGGGTACGGATGGCAGATTTCATTCACTAAAGAGCATTAGTGAACCAGATGGGTTTTTACAACAATTGATAACAGTTGTCGTGGTCACTGTCACTGAGAGTAGTTTTCAATTCCAGACTTATTATTTGAATTCAAATTTTCACCATTTACCAAGGTGGGATTTGAACCTATGTTCCCAGAGTATTAGGGAATCTCAGGATCTCATGGTAGCGCAGTGGCTCAGTGGTTAACACTGCTGCCTCACAGTGCCAAGGACCCAGGTTCGATTACACCCTTGGGCAACTGTTTGCGTGGAGTTTGCACATTCTCCCCGTGTCTGTGTGGGTTTCCTCCGGGTGCTCCAGTTTCCTCCCACAGTCCAAAGATGTGCAGGTTAGGGTGGATTGGCCATGCTTAACTGCTCATAGTGTCCAGGATTGTGTAGGTTAGGTGGATTAGCCATGGGAAATGCCGGGTTACAGGGATAGGGTAGGGGGGGTGGGTCTGGGTTGAATGGTCTTTACAGGGTCAGTGTGGATTCGATGGGCTGAATTGCCTGCTTCCACACTGTAGGGATTCTAATGATTGCCAGTGCAGCGATGGTACCACTATGCCACCAACCTCCCAATACCCTGTCAGAATGCGTGTTAGCCCTTCATTGCGAGCGGTTGGATTTTGATGGGGTTCAGAGAGTTTACTTTGATCAGAAGTCCCTCGCTCACTGAGAGCCCATTGCAAATTGACTTTACCTCGAATCCCACAGGCGAACCTTCTCGTCAAAGTGTCCGCTAATGATGAGGTAGTCTGAGCAAACGATGTCACTGCAGCGAGACGGGAGAGGGATTGAACTAACACCTGGAACAACAACAACAACAGGGAAGAGAAACAGATTGATAAGAAAATTCCAAATTGTGAACTAAAACTTTACCTCAAATACACTCAAGTCCTGATGGGTTTTAATCGCTCCCGAGTTGTTGTCAGCTCCGAGATTGAAACCTTCCATCTAGATCCCACAAAATATAAATGGCTTTCCTGGGAATGTCAGGAACTCGTTATCACTTCTAGACTTCAGACTAATGGATGTTGAGATTATGATTAAACTGCAGGCTGCAATCTTATGGGAAAAGTTCAGATGATTTATGTATGAGATAATGGATTCCAGACAACTTGCTCTGAGCTCGGATCTACGTGACTGGGATAAGGTGCTGGATTATTCATTTACAGTTTCAATAAAAATCATGGCCATCTGGGAGTGAGGAAATGACAGCGGAGTTGGATGCAGTGTAGAACCAACCCTTACAAGCTAATGGCTTGGGGAGACTGTGGCCAGCAATCTACAGTTATTTTTAATCAACCTGTACAGGGATGTTATGACACACCTCTGGAGCAGGTGGGACTCAAACCCATGGTACATTCTGGTGCACTACCACTGTGCCATAATAGCCCAAAACAATTGGTCAGTGAAATACACAGCTTCTCAGAGACATTTCCAATCACAGGTTACACACCTCTGGAGCAGGTAGGACTACTTCTCCCAGAGGGTGGTGGGAACCTAGAGCTTACTGACTCTAAGGGCGGTAGAGGCAGAAACCCTCAAAACATTAAGTATTTGGAGTGTGATGCCAAGGTATACAAGGCTCTGGGCCAAGTGGTGGGAAATGTTATTAGAGTAGTTAGGTGGCTGTTTTGACTGGGGCAGAGCTGACGGACCAAAGGTCCTTTTCTGTTGTGTAGATCCCTACGATTCCATGACTTAAGACTGTATGACATCTTCAGATTGGGTACAGTGTAAAGCAGTCACCAACATTGACCTTTTCAGTACCATTAATTTACACAACGAGGAGTTGGCCATTCAGCCCCTGCAGCATGTTCTACAATTTAATTAGATTGCAGCTGATTTTTGCTCTGTTTATCTGTCTTGTTTTCTTCACTGTTATCAAACAGTAATCTATTGGCTCTACCCAAGAACGTCTCACATGAACCAATAGCAACAGCTCCAAGTGGGAATCTAATGAATATTAACAAAAGATATCATTTTTTTGTTGACATTCAGTTACCTGGGTCCCATTGGATATGACTTCCATTTTATCAGCATGGCTTCTTACCTCCTTCATGAGTACACCCACACAACACACACCACACACCACACAGACACTCACACACACACAGAGACACACACAAGACACAGACAGACAGACAGACACACACAAGAGACACAGACACATGTTTGGTCCTGCTCAAAAGGTGATGAAATTGCCCTCAAGTTCCTGGGTTCATGAATCTCTCTGGCTGTTTGACCCATCATATCCATGCTAGCTCTCCAAATCATTAATACACTGCGCCATTCTCCTACCCTTCATATTCTTCCTTTTCTGATAACAGTCTAATTTGCTTTCGCAAACCTTGACTGCCTCCCCCACACTCTCAGACAGTACATTCCAGACCCTAACCCCTCGAGTGAACCTGCCTCCCCCCACACTCTCAGACAGTACATTCCAGACCCTAACCCCTCGAGTGAACCTGCCTCCCCCACACTCTCAGACAGTACATTCCAGACCCTAACCCCTCGAGTCACCCTGCCTCCCCCACATTCTCAGACAGTACATTCCAGACCCTAACCCCTCGAGTGAACCTGCCTCCCCCACACTCTCAGACAGTACATTCCAGACCCTAACCCCTCGAGTGACCCTGCCTCCCCCCACACTCTCAGACAGTACATTCCAGAACCTGATCACTTTTTCCTGTTTTGTAACCAATTATATTAAATCATTTTCTCTTGTTCTCAAACCCTAATGCGAGTGGGAACTATTTCTCCCTACTTACCTAGTGCAGTTGCCTTGTGATGAATAGTAGATTTTCTACAGTGACCCATGGATGACCTGGTCATGTCCCATGAACAATACTTATCATGACCCCAGTTGAGATCAATCCCAAAAAAGTGAAACCTCAGAGAGAAACCTGGGGTTAATAGACCCTTGAATTTATTTTTCATTAAATTACATTGAGACATAAATTACTGAACATGGTCACAAGAGGCTGCAGCTCCAACAACACTCCTGAAGCTCGACACCATCCAGGACAAAGCAGCCGCTTGATTGGCACCAGATCCACAAACATCCGCTCCCTCCACCACCGACGCTCAGTAGCAGCAAGCTCAAAAAGATGCACTGCAGAAATTCACCAAAGATCCTCAGACAGCACCTCCAAACCCACGACCACTCCCATGTAGAAGGCAACAGATATATGGGAACGATAATCCCTGTAAGTTCTGTTCCAAGCCACTTAGCATCCTGACTTGGAAATATAACGCTGTTCCTTCAGTGTCACTGGGTCAAAATCCTGGAATTCTCCCCTTCAGGGCATTGAGGGTCAACCTACAGCACAGTAGTTCAAGAAGGCAGCTCACTACTGCCTTCTGAAGGGGCAACTAGGGATGGACAATAAATGCTGGGCCTAGCCAGTGATGCCCTCATTTCATGAATGAATTAACAGAAATCTAGCATTATAACCAATAAACATTTAAAACACACCCACCCATAACTTCACTTTATTGTAAACATATAAAGGAACTACTAAACACGCAAGGAATCTCTTACATGCTGTCTGAAACATAGAAAAGGTACAGCATAGAAAGAGGTCATTCAGCCCATCATGGCTGAATAAACTAACCGCCCATTCTAATCTCATGTCTCAGCCCGTGGTCTATACCCTTGCAGGTTCTAGCACTTCAGGGGCAAATCCAGGTTCCTTTTCGATATATTTTCCCCTCAACCCCAAACTGGGCACTGAATTTCAGACACCCTGCACCCCTGGGTGAAAGGTTTTTCTCTTCATTTCCCTTCTAATCCTTCCACCAATCAACTCATATCTGTGTGCCGGTAGAGGTGG